TATCGATTTTTAAACTTTTTTTTCTAGAGTTTTTTTTTATTTTTAGCTTTTTAATTTTAATTAAGTGATTTCCCACGCTTAAATAATTCTAAATGTATTCGTTATCTTTAATCCTATAGCGTAATTAACAATGAACGTTGTTATTACAAAAATCGGCATTTCGGTCACGAAGTCGGATGGTGTTGGCTCTACCCAACCAACCAACACCGATAGTGATAACGCTACATGCTATTATCGGCAAATTGATAAAGAAGAAGACAAAGCTGTATCATGGTTAACTAAACTTGGACAATCCTTAGCTAAATGGCTGCGCGAGAACGGAGATTATCAAATTAATAAATGTAACTTATACACTTATAATAGCAAACGTGTATTGATTAATATATAACATAATTTCTTAATTGAACATTGTAGCACAAGAAGTTTTGCTTGATTTCCCAGAGGGATATTTCCTTTACGAATATCTTAAAGTGTTATCTGATGGTACACAGACTTCAGACACTTATTTGTTCGGTAAGCAATATGAACGTAGCTTTATTATTACTATCATCACTTTAATCAAAACTTTATTAAATAGGCGCGCATAAATTCCAATCACCGAGCGAATTCATACCTCACTTAAAATGGCTAGTGTCAAAAGATTCACAATGTCAATGTGTACATTGCCCTCCATCTTCAAAAGTGATAAAACCAACGTCAAGTGTTTCGTCATCTAAGCCAAAGGTATCAAAGTCATCAAGTAAAACATCTGCAAAATCATCCAAACTTTCATCGGAATCTACACACAATCCGTCAGAATCAGAATCTCTTCAAACGTCACGTTCTCTCGCGAAATCGCGGATGTTAAAACCTAGCGGAGATGGAGAATCATCTAAAAATTCATCAACAAAAGAACATAAAAAGGATGATCGCCCAAAAGCCAAATACGCCGAGTACCGTACGGGTGAAATAGTCTGGGTTATTCTTGCAAAAACTGGTGATAACATTCTCATTGACAAATTTAAAGATTTAAATGTCGGAGACTCCCCGATCACAAATTGGCCAGGAGTTATTTACTCCCGCGGAAAAGTTGCACCAGATGTAGACATTGTAAAATTCACTGTCAAATTGGTTGTATTAAATACTGAAGTTTCTATTAGACGGACAGGATTGATACCTTGGAAAGCTTTTAACCCTGTTATCCCAGAAGAAGTTCTTAAAAATGTGATAGGAAGTACGTACTTTAAAAAAAAATAAAATTTATAACTGAAATCAAATCATTTAATTATAATAATTATTGAAATTAGGCAATTCGAACGAACAACTAGAACCTGAAATTGACATAAATATCCAAAATTATGTCCGGGCAGTACACCGTGCTAATGAAGCAGCGCAAACATATTCACCAATGAAGATGTTCAAGTACGTGGGAAATCACTTAATTAAAATTAAAAAGCTAAAAATAAAAAAAAACTCTAGAAAAAAAAGTTTAAAAATCGATA